AGATACTTTACGAAAGAAGACATATATGAGGCCAACAATCATATGAAAAAATGCTCATCGTCACTGGTCATCAGAGAGATGCAAATCAAAACCACATTGAGATACCATCTCACGCCAGTTAGAATGGCGATCATTAAAAAATCTGGAGACAACAGATGCTGGAGAGGATGTGGAGAAAAAGGAACACTTTTACACTGTTGGTGGGAGTGTAAATTAGTTCAACCATTGTGGAAGACAGTGTGGCGATTCCTCAAGGCTTTAGAAATAGAAATTCCATTTGACCCAGCAATCCCATTACTGGGTATATATCCAAAAGACTATAAATCGTTCTACTATAAGGACACATGCACACGAATGTTCATTGCAGCACTGTTTACAATAGCAAAGACCTGGAATCAACCCAAATGCCCATTGATAATAGACTGGATTGGAAAAATGTGGCACATATACACCATGGAATATTATGCAGCAATCAGAAATGATGAGTTCGTGTCGTTTGTAGGGACATGGATGAATCTGGAGAACGTCATCCTCAGCAAACTGACACAAGAACAAAAAATGAAACACCGCATATTCTCACTCATAGGCGGGTGATGAAAAATGAGAACACATGGACACAGAAAGGGGAGTACTAAACACTGGGGTCTATTGGGGGGAAAAGGGGAGGGCCAGTGGGAGGGGGAGGTGGGGAGGGATAGCCTGGGGAGAAATGCCAAATGTGGGTGAAGGGGAGAAGAAAAGCAAAGCACACTACCATGTGTGTACCTACACAACTGTCTTGCATGCTCTGCTCATGTACCCCAAAACCTATAATCCAATAAAAAATTAAAAAAAAAAAATCTGTTTGAGTTTTTTGTAAATTCTGGATATCAGCCCTTTGTCAGATGGGTAAACTGCAAAAATTTTTTCCCATTCTGTTGGTTGCTGATTCACTCTAGTGACTGTTTCTTTTGCCGTGCAGAAGCTGTGGAGTTTCATTAGGTCCCATTTGTCTATTTTGGCTTTTGTTGGCAATGCTTTTGGTGTTTTGGTCATGAAGACCTTGCCTACTCTTATGTCCTGAATGGTTTTGCCTAGATTTTCTTCTAGGGTTTTTATGGTGCCAGGTCTTATGTTTAAGTCTTTAATCCATCTGGAGTTAATTTTTGTGTAAGGTGAGACTTCCTACATCTTGTTTTGTTTAAAATGTTGAACTGAGTCTTTGGGATGTAGATATAAATGTTTTCTATGTAAATAGTTGGAAATATTGCATTGAAAGATACTTAACCCTTAGGAAGTTCGTGTATTGAACTCAAGAAGGGCTCTCCTGGGGAAGCATCATGGAAGAAACTTGTTGACGGGGCTGCTCCTATTTCTATCTTTTCCTGCAACGTGACGTGGACCACAGCAGAATATGCCAACCACAGACCTCTCTGTTCCTGTGATCTGCAACTGAGTTTTGCTTAAAAACACCTCAAATCTGCTATTATTATTTCACAAATCAATATTTAATGACATTCGCCAATCTATAAATTGTCAATACCTAAGATTACTTGTATATGTGATATGCTGTGAGCCTTCTCTGGGTGTACTTTTCCTCTTGAATCCTTTCATAGTTCTTACAGCAAGCATATTTGGTGGCAAGTAAGTTCTTTTAGCCCTTGAAAATTTCTATTTTCTTATTTTTTCCCTGAATAATTGTTTATATTAATATAAATTGTAGGTTAATAATTATCCTTTCCTCAGTCTTTTGAAGGTATTATTTCATTTCTTCTGATCTCTATCAAGGTTCATAAATCTACTGTCCATCTAAGTCATGAATCTTTATGGGAATCCGTCTTGTCTGTCTGCTAGCTTTTAACATTTTCTCTTTTTATTCTGCTATTGTATCATTTCACTACTGCGTCTACATGTGGGGATTGTTGTTTGTTTATTCTGCTCTGTACTTTTTCTGAGATTTTGAACCGAGGACTCCTGTGGACATGGTTTGGCTGTGTCCCCACCCAGATTTCATATTGAACTGTAGCTCCCACAGTTCCCACGTGTTGTGGGAGGGAAGCCAGTGGGAGGTAATTGAATCGTGGGGCTGCGTCTTTCCCATGCTATTCTCATGGTAGTGAATAAGTCTCATGAGATCTGATGGTTTTATAAAGGGGAGTTTCCCTGCACGAGCTCTCTTCTCTTGTTTGTGCCTTTTACCTTCTGCCATGAGGGTGAGGCTTTCCCAGACACGTGTAACTGTGAGTCCATTAAACCTCTTTCTTTTGTAAATTGCCCAGTCTTGGGTATGTCTTTATCAGCAGCATGAAAACAGACGAATACACCTGTTTTTCTCTGAGTCTGGAAAAAATAAGTTACCAGCTTTTCATATAGTGCTGCTGCTCTATTGTCTTCTTCTGAAATTGTTGCTTCACAGATACAGGACCCCTTGGACTATCCTCCACCTCTGCCCTGCATGTGAGTGTGTATGTAGACGTGGAGATAAACACACTTCAAGCACCCAAGAAGTCCTCAGTGGAAGGAGGAACCATTATTTTCATGCGTCACTAAGAAGTGAAGGTGCCACAGACAAGGAGTGTAGTGGAAGACCCCTACGTAAGGTGAGGACCCCAACGGGCTACAGCCTTGCTATGAGAAGGAATGAGAAATAAACCCACTGTGAGGAAGAGGCAGGAAAAAAAAAAAAAGAGCCCTGACAATCTCTCCTGAGATTTTAACCTCTAAACTTTACACATTCAGATTGACACTTTGAATTCAAATCTTAATTGTAGATTTTAATTTTAATGATCTTAGGTCAGTAATACTTCCAAGTGACTGGTGGGGCAAATGAAGATTCTCTTTGGAAGGTGTCCCCAATCTAGACCAAGAGTGGTTGTAAGTCACCTTCAGTTGTAAGGTGTGCTCCCATTTCAGATATATTAAAATGAGAACAAGGCATATAGAATCAATGAAGTGCCCTATACACGTGTGCCTGCATGCACACATCCATATCTATCTACGGAAGTCAGATTCTCTCTCTCTGCAGTATTCTACGTGAGTTCCTCAATATTGTGTCCGAGTCACTAATTCTCTCTTTAACCCTGTTCTGCCTAAAATGCGTTCCTTTCATCACATATTTTCTTTGGCTGTATTTTTAATTTCTTAGTTTTCCAACTGTTTATTTTAAAGAAACTTTCGTTATTTCTTATGTGCCTGTTTTATTTTTCTATAGTGTCTTGTGCTTTTAAAAGCACACTCTCCCTCCTTCACTTCTGTTATCCCTTTAAACACCCTAAACATAATTATTTTAGTCTTAGACACATTGTCCCCATGCAATTAACTTTGTCTGGAGTGATTTCATGTTCTGAGTATTGATTTTGCTGTTTATGTTCTGAGCACTGGAATGCTCCTATGTTGTGGGAGAGGGGAGTGTTTGGCTTTCCTTTCCCCACGCCATTTTTCTCCTTCTCTGTTCCTCCTCCTACAGCAGCTCTGCCATCGTCCCCAGTGACTCGCAGGGCTGCCAGGGCTGCACCAGCTACCATGTGGCCCTCCTTTCCCCACGGCATCTCCCATTGCCGCTGTCTCCTGGGCCGTCAGCTTCTCAGTGGGTCCCACAGATTCTTCTTTCTCTATGTCATTTTTCTCGCTTTTAAAAATTTGTTCAACAAATAACTCTGAGCACTTACAAAGTACCAGACTCTGCCCCATCTTTGCCTCCTTCTTTCAATGATCTGTTTTATGGAACTTGATCATATTCTATAATAAGCCGTTTATACTAGTTTTAATGAGTTCTGGTTTCATTTGCAAGGAGGTGAGTGTGATGGTACTTACTTATCTGAAGAATTCTTCTTGCTCCTCTGACCATAAATGGATGGCTTTATGTTCCAGGAATCGCCGGCCTTCTGCAATGCCATCATTCCTCAGTTTCATATATCACTCTGCAGTCTACAAACTTTTCTTATCCATCAACTCAGTTGACCAGTTGTGATATGAAATAGATGGGACAGATATTGGGCCTGTTTTACCAGGATTATGCCTGCAGCTCAGAGAGGTTAGGTCTGCTCCAGGGCCACCAGCAAGCAAGAAGCAGAGCAGAACCACACCTGAAACCAAATCTCATGATTTAGACACCTGAGTTAGAGTCTTCAGATGAGCCTTAGAATATGTTCTGGGCAAGGGTCACATCTTATGTCCTGGTATCACTCATTGTACCTGGCACGCTGCTGGGCGTGGCATGTATTTACATCATCAAAACCACATTGAGATACCATCTCACGCCAGTTGGAATGGTGATCATTAAAAAGTCTGGAGACAACAGATGCTGGAGAGGATGTGGAGAAATAGGAACACCTACACTGTTGGTGGGAGTGTAAATTAGTTCAACCATTGTGGAAGACAGTGTGGAGATTCCTCAAGGATCTAGATTTAGAAATTCCATTTGACCCAGCAATCCCCTTACTGGGTATATACCAAAAGGATTATAAATCATTCTTTTATAAAGATGTATACTCACTTATATCTATCACAGTACTGTTTACAATAGCAGAGACTTGGAACCCACCCAAATGCCCATCAAAGATAGACTGGATAAAGAAAATGTGGCACATACACACCATGGAATACTATGTAGCCATCAAAAGGATGAGTTCATGTCCTTCGCAGGGACATGGATGAATCTGGAAACCATCGTTCTCAGCAAACTGACACAAGAACAGAAAACCCAACGCTGCATGTTCTCACTCATAAGTGGGTGTTGAACAATGAGAACACATGGACACAGGGAGGGGAACATCACACACCAGGGCCTGTTGGGGGGTGGAGGGGCTAGGGCAGGGTTAGCAGGGAGTGGAGGGGTTGGGGAGGGATAACATTAGGAGAAATACCTGATGTAGGTGATGGGGGGGTGGATGCAGCAAACCACCATGGCACGTGTACACCTATGTAACAATCCTGCATGATCTGCACATGTGCCCCAGAACTTAAAGTATAATAAAAAAGGAAAATTAAAAAATAAAGTAAATTAAATATTTGATGAAGGCTGTCTGGAAGAAAGCTGATTTTGTATACTTCATGCAGGGGCTGGGGCTGAACTCACTCTGCTGGGACCCTGCCTGCTCTGCTGTGCCCCTTGGGGCACAGCCCCCAGGGCATACAGAAGGGTCTGCACTGCAGGAGCATGTGAGGGAGACCAGGCTGCCTGTGGGCCCCTCATCCTCTAACGAAGGACAATTTATGACCCAGCTGCAGTGATGGGAATTCAAGACCACTCAACATGTTCACATTCAAAAAATCGGTAGGTATCGATTCACATTACTGAGTTGACTGAAGACAGAGGCAGTATTTATTCGGAGTTGTGTTCCTGATGTAATAATACTTAGATTACAGTATTTTCTGTAATTACTTAGAAATGACAATTCATATTGGGTTAGTGATAAATCAGAGGCAATTTAAATAATGTCATCAGGAATTGAGGGGCATAGATTCTGTGGATTTCATCTCAGCCAATGGGCCATTGCTTCCAAGGATGAACAGTGTCTCTGACGGCCAGTTTTGCCCAGTGGAGGTGGGGTGCTGAGGGCCCTGGCTCTGACCCTGGCCTATGATGGCCTGTCATCTCAGCCCGGCCTACTGAGGCTGTGTTATCTCTGTTCCCCTGTGACTCCTGTGGCTTGATATCACAGATACAAGTCCAGCCTCTGGGAGACAGGAACCTGCTCCTGGGCTCAATTCCGCATGCTTAGGGAAGGGTGAGGGGCCCACCCAGCTCTACTGGAGCAGTGTCAGGTATAAAATGGTGACTTTTGTCCTGTCAGTGTGGACCAGGTGCCAGCTAAGAGAGTTCACATGTTATTCTGAGCCTGTAAGGTAGTTTTCTTATGGGTGTTACTGGCGAAGACCAGAGAGCTGATTGCCATGCCCAAGACGAGAGCAGTAATGCCCCCGTGAGGGTTAACTCATGGCCACTGGGTCCAGGGAGCTGCTCTATCAGCCATGCTCTTCCTCTCCTCATTATTGCTCTGTGTTCTAGTTGGAGAAAATGGCACAAAGAGCTAGAGGCAGGCAGGCTGGCCCAGCAGGAAGTGTGTGGATGCCATGCTGGTTGGGTAGGGAAGAACCTTGGTGGTGCTGGTGGTACTATGAGTGAAGATGAAGGTGTACAGCATGGTAATAGGATGGGATGGGGGAGGGGGAGCGGTGTGGGATGGGATGGGGGAGGGGTAGCTGTGGGGGATGGGATGGAGGAGGAGGAGCTGTGTGGGATGGGAAGGGGGAGGGGGAGCTGTGTGGGATGGGATGGGGGAGGGGGAGCTGTGTGGGATGGGATGGGGGAGGGGGGGCTGTGTGGGATGGGATGGGGAGGGGGAGCTGTGTGGGATGGGATGGGGGAGGGGGAGCTGTGTGGGATGGGATGGGGGAGGGGGAGCTGTGTGGGATGGGATGGGGGAGCTGCAGAGAGGGGAATAGATGGAAAATGAAGACAAGGACCCACAACAGCAAGAACACAGCACTCAGTAACGAACAAGTGTGTTAGTCCGTTCTCACACTGCTATGAAGAACTATCTGAGACTGGGTGATTTGTGAAAAAGGAGGTTTATTGACCTACAGTCATGTGGCCTCCCACATGATTGGGAAGCCTCAGGAAACTTACAATCATGGTGGAAGGCAAAGGGGAAGCAAGGACCTTCTTCACAAGGTGGCAGGACAGGCAGAGCACGCGAGGAGGGAAGTGCCAGGCACCTTTAAACCATTGGATCTCATGAGAACTCACTATCACGGGAATAGCATGGGGAACTCCACCCCGTGACCCAAGCCCCTCCCACCAAGTCCCACCCCAAATAGTTAAAGAGTGAGTCTGCAAGTCATGAATCATTCAGATGAGTGTTTTCCTCTTCTCTCTGTGGCACTGAGGGGCTGAGAAACATCTGGAGATCTCACAGAACTCTCAATTTCCCATCACAGCCCTGGTCTCCCCACTCAACAAGGCCCCCCCAAAAGGAGCAAAAAGCAGAAAGCTCAAGGACCCTCAGAATCAAGATAAATTTTCTAAGTAACTTGAGAATTTTCTTCCCTCCAGTGCTTGAATTTTCTAAGCTCTACTTGATATTTTTAAAATGTTAAAATGACTCTGATTTTGAATCGAACTCATTGGTCTTGCGAGGAAAATAACTGTGCTTCAGATGGAGAATAAACAAGTTGGGAAGGGAGAGCGAGAAGATCCTGAGCTCTTTCTGGGACCCAGACCTCTCCACCCCCTGCACACTCCCCGCTCAGGTGCATCTGGAGACCCAGGGCCAAATGAAACTCTGCCTTTTGAGTCTGTGTGATCTTTGGTGAGTGACCTCACATTTCTGGGTCTTGGTTTTCTCAATAAAAATAAAAAAGAGAAATATACAGGTCTTCATGGAAGAATGGTTGGAACGAAATGGAATAACAGATACAAAATAGCTGTGTACCTGAAAGTCCTCTATAAATGTCCCCTCCCGATTCAGGCCACTGTTGATTATAGCTGCTGGTCACTCTTCTCTCAGCCTACTGTGTGCAAACCCCCTGAGCTTCGTGCCGGGGGAAGGACCTGGATTGAAATAGTCTACTTGCAAAATTTATACTACTTTTATTTCAGACTTGTTCTCCCAGAAACAAAATCACTATTCAGTACCTGGGACATGCCAATAATACATTTTAATGAAAGCTTAATTAATTTGAAATGATTGCTCTCTTGTAAGTAGAATGAAAAAAATCATTAAAAATTGGCAAATGGAAGAGAAAAATGTTTTTATATAAGTACATAGGAGAGACATATTGAGGCTATGAATATTTCTAAAATGAGAGGACGTAAAACTTGAATTTGTAAAGTTATTTTCTTAATTTGGAAGGCTGTTTCAACTTGTTTCCAAATGAAAATAAAAGAATCAAGTTCTGCAGCTTGTGCAAATGTATGGGGAAATCAATGTAGGCTTTCTTCTTCTTCTTCTTTATTTTTTTGAGAAAGCATCTCACTCTGTTGCTCAGGCTGGAGTGTAATGGCGTGATCTCGGCTCACTGCAACCTCCGCCTCCCAGGTTCAAGCAATTCTCCTGCCTCAGCCTCCCAAATAGCTGGGATTACAGGCGTATGGCACCAAAACCAGCTAATTTTTGTATTTTCAGTAGAGACAGGGTTTCATCATGTTGGCCAGGCTGGTCTGGAACTCCTGACCTCAGGCGATCTACCTGCCTTGCCCTCCCAAACTGCTGGGATTACAGGTGTGAGCCGCTGTGTTCAACCTTCTTCTTCATTTTTCTTTTCTTTGCTTTCTTTCTTCTTCTTCTTCTTTTTTTTTGAGACGGAGTTTCGCTCTTGTTGCCCAGGCTGGAGTGCAATGGCGCAATCTCGGCTCACCGCAACCTCCGCCTCCTGGGTTCAGGCAATTCTCCTGCCTCAGCCTCCTGGGTAGCTGGGATTACAGGCACGTGCCACCATGCCCAGCTAATTTTTTGTATTTTTAGTAGAGACAGGGTTTCACCTTGTTGACCAGGATGGTCTCGATCTCTTGACCTTGTGATCCACCTGCCTCGGCCTCCCAAAGTGCTGGGATTACAGGCTTGTCTTTCTTCTTTTTTTTTAAAAAAAAAACACCCTGTTTTCCAGTAAAATTTAACAACATGGGTTCATTGGGGGCTTCAAGTGTTTATTATTTGGTTTAGTTTTGCAACAAGACACAGAGCTCAAACCCGGAAGCGCCTGAGGTAGGACACCCAGTGAGACTGCCTCCCAGACACCCCACTGCAACCAGTGAACTGCACTGTTTAGACTCTGCCTTCAGGGTCAGGGTGGGCTGACGGGACCGGCCTCTTGATGAGGTGAGAGGCGACCGAGGAGTGAGAGCGGCTGAGTTTGAGCCCTGCCTCTGCCATCTGGAACCCTCTCATCTTGAGCAGGTCCAGCCGCAGTGTGGGCTTCCGATCTCCTGTCCTGGAAACCAGAGACTCCAAATCCAGCTCTGAGGCTGCAGCCCCTGCCCTGCCCCTGCACTGTGTGGCAACCACCAGGCTTGAAGAAGGGTCACCTCATCTAAGCCACACCCCTCTCCCATCACACCCCTTGTTGTCCTTTAAATGGTTCCCGTTTGTCTTTCTTCCCTTGAGCCCCGGGGTGTGCTGGTGAATTTTAACAGGAGCGATCTCGATGGGTGGCATTTGCTGATTTCTCTGCTGTGAACGCTCCCATAGGTTGTCTCGTTGAATCATCGACGAGTCCTAGGATTCAATCCCTGGGCGCAGATGGTTATGTAACCTGCCCAAGGCCTTGCAGCCACACAGAGGAGGAGTTGAATGGGCCGTGGTGTCTGAGTTTTTAGGCCTGTGCTTTTAGGCAACGCGCTATCCTAGATTTCAGCCTTGCTGCTCTCTGCGCTCGAAAGCCTGCGGAAAAATGCCTTGAGAGAGAAAGCGAGTCCGTTTGCACATGGTCCCTTTATTTTGAGCTTATGTATCAAATCTGATGATCCTCATGCCTGTCTTTATTGCACCTGGCCTATTAATACACATATTGGTAAACACGCTTCGGTGATATTTATCTTCCAAGAGCTCACAGATTTCTACCGTTTAGAGTTTTGTTTTTGGGTGTGTCTCATTAACAGGGTACAGTGCACAGATGTGGGTCTTATATAAAAAAGTGACTTTGTAATGGCTTTTGTTGTGTGATTAGGAAAAGAAACAGCCTTAAGTAAAGGGAGCTATTTGGAGCAGAGAGGTTTTTAATTAGGGTGATATTCCAGGGCTGAGTGACAACGTTTCTCGAATAACAGAAACCTGGAGAGCTCTCCCTTGGAAGGGCACTGCCATATACCAGCCGCCAAGCCGATTTTTCAGGGAATTAAGCCCTGCACCCAAACTGGCAGAGGAATGAGGCTTTTGTCCAGCTGAGCATGGTACAAAATGGTTTGGAACACAAACAATTATCTGGAGAACAGGGGCTGCGTGGATTGCCAAACTGGGCAATCTGTCCTCATCAGCAATACAATGTCCACCCAAGGTATGATTTTGTGGGCCACTCCCCCTGGCCCCAGACAGACTGCCTCCACGGGGATGCCAGTCTCATGCCACTGCACCCGATTTTAAGCAAACTCAGAATATGAAAATGTGGATTTGGAGAGGTGTAACTTGGGTGAAATCAGCTCTGCACTGGTACAGAGCTCTGCATTAGTTAGTACTTTGTACTAAGTAATGGTTCTGTTGTTACATAAAAATGCCAGCTACTAATTATTAAAATATCCAAAAAAATCCTGCCATTCAGAAATTGCATTAGCTAGTT